AGTTTGTCACGCAACATCGAGTGGTGTGACGAGATAACAGAAGGCAACCAAAAACGCGAAAATTTCTATTATGTAAATATTTTATGAATGTTAATATCAAAGCAAACGTTTTCGCTTATTGTATATACAAGAACTGGTCAGTGAAAAGAGTCCATCTTTATTTAATTGTGTAAACTTCCCTCCACTTTCGCGCTGATGCTAGAATATATATGAAGTAATTTTGGCATTCGAGGGGAAAAGGTGCCGTTTCTGGTTGGAGTCAAGACTCGACTGAGCCTGCGATGCTTTGTTAGAGACGTTGCTAGGTAACATAACGTCTTCTTATGGCGCCATAGGGACGCGTCAAGGTTGCGAGGACGTGCGAGTACTCGTGCTTGGATTTGATTGGATAATATGACAAATGGAAATGTTCACGTGATGGCAGGAAGACTTTAGAAACGACATTTGTTCCCGGGTTTTTGTTTGACAATAAGTGTTTGGACAGTATAAGCACACAATCCCTCAAGACAGTTAGAAAGGCATAAGGTGAATGGTGCTTGCCAATGCCTACCTTTTTTTACCGTTTTCTTGTAAATAAAAATGTTCTACAATCAAGCAAGCCTTTTTTTGAACAGAGCGCATTTTGAATAAAAGATTCTTTTTGGAAAAGAGGGTGTAGCTATCCGTCTCCAGCATCAAATTGCTGTTTCTTTGGGCCTTGAACATGACTGGATGAGTTTGCTGTCGCCGGAAAACTATTTAGCAGTCGATAACAAAAAGTTATAGGTAACTAGCAAGCAAATTTATCACGAACGTTATTGGTAACAAACTGTAAAAACTAGTCAGCGATGACTGGAGAGCTTTTCTCTAGCCGAACAGGTTGAAGTTGCAGACTAGTTTTTCGTCGTCTGCGAGACAATGATCGTCAACGGGCAATCATTATTGGTTGCCAGCGGTTTCCGCGCAACAAAATACACTTTGACATTATACAACGAGTGCTAGTTAAAAAGAAATCACCTAAAGACTTACTCATCGATAACTTCAGACGCTGGTGTATGCGCCCTAGCCAACTATGACGGATAGAAATCTAGAGCGAAGTTAAGAATCAATTTTATAGCAAATCTACTGGTAATTCAAAACTTAATCTAAATCCTATTCACAGACTTTCCAGTAGAAAACGCAAAGAAGCGGCCGGATGGTTAGTACTCGTGCGTGAAAATTTTTCTGTATACAAGGGGCTTATAGAAAATAAACAATTGCAATTGTACTAAGATGGTTTTTGTCTGTTTTCTTTGTTTTCATTTAAAAAAGTTGAAAATGCATTTCAATATGAGTTTTGAACTGGCGCGAGGAAGAAAATTTAGTGGCGAACACTAAAAACAATAGAGAGTTTCGATCGAGGAACTATCGGTCCGATAGTTGCCCCTTGGAAATTTGATGTTCTTAAACCTAAAATATTCGCTTCTCGGGCAAATATTTGTTTTAAGAGCATCAAATTTTTGCGGGGCAACTATCAGCCGATAGTTCCTTAACAGAAACACTCTATCGTTTAAGTAGATAGTGAGTAACGGTGGCGTGACAGAAAGCAAGTAGATATAAGGAGAACTAATATTACTTTGTCATCAAATTTTAATTGTCAAAATCTACCTTACAAGTCTATCAGGGTTCTTAGGTTTACTTCAGATACTCTTAACCTGCCGGATTAACCCATTAGCCTTACGAGACTGACTTTAACCATCTTACATGCGCAGCAAGCTAAATAGTCTTGATAAGAAGTATTGTAGCTTCATCAGTTCACCTGCATTTTCCCCAGAACGTTAAAAACACCAAACAGTACAGTGGATTTGCGTTTCGCAATTACCCATCTCTATCACTGAACTGGGAAGGATAGAAGACAGGAGATCTTCCTTCTCTGCCTCTTTACCATTTCCCCAGCGTCTTCTTAATATTAGGGAGTTTTAGCAATGACGATGGTGACGCCGAAGACGACGCCTTGTAAAAAAATGTATCTACATTTTACCCTCGACTGTCGCAACTGTGTAGATCTGTTTAGTACGCCTATCGGTCTAAACATTCGCTCAAACTAAATATGTGATGACGGTGTTCCATTACGAAGGAAGACACGAAAATTTAGCCATTGCGGGTCACGTTCTCCAAACTACGTACGACTTTGTCATTTCGCCTTGTTGTTTTGCATAGCAGGGCAAAGAAATGTACAAAGATTCAAAACGCACGAGCAAAACCATTGTTCTGCTCATTAGACCTTTTATTTGGTGACGTTCTCGCTGGTGTCGCCGTCGCGGTTTGCTAAAACGCCTTATAATTATTTTCTCACAAGAGACGACTAGGAAAGGGTGAAGTGGCAATATAAATTACTGATTCGACATATCTAAATCGTATAATTAGTATATATATTTTACATTGAAAATTGCACGAACTTTAGGTGAGTGCTATTTGAAAGAATTTTCTAATATCTTGAGTAGTGAAAATCGTTTATAGGCCATATTGGTATTCTCGGTATTGGACTGGGACTAGCGTGCAACTGAGGCTAATGCGGGGAGTCTTTTCAAATGCAAATGACATTTGTCTCTTTTTATTCCCCCGCATGAGCCTCCATTGCAAGCTAGTTCCAGTCCAATACCGAGAATACGAATATGGCCTATTGCTTGAACTTTCACAAGATTACTCATTTACCATGACCGAAAAAATAACGAACGTACCTGCATTAATTTGCGCCGCTCTCCAAATTAAAATTAAAGAAAAATTTGCCTGCTCTAAGCTAAACACAATAAAGTAATTTTTTAAACCATATAATACAGCTTACATGACCGTAGACGTCATTCATCATTCCGCGCACCTCATGAGAAGAAGAGATTTCCTACAGACAAGGCTGCTAAAGCTTATCTCTCATCAAAGTTTTCCCGACTCTGATTCTCGACATTTTCAAGCAAATTACGAACAAAGTAGTATTCGCCATTTCCACATCCCCCATAATACATCTTGTTTGCCCGTAAAATTCTGCATAACCTTTGTTTGCCATTTCTCCTGGGTATTACAGTCGTCCCAAGAGAAACTGAAGACAATGCTTATGCAAAATTTTAGGGGCAAACAAGGTGTATTATGGGGCATGTGGAAACGGAGAATGGTCCTTTGCACACAATCAACCTCAGAATCTTGGGTTAAGTGAGTTTTGTTATACCTCCCAACTCAAATTCGTATTCCGATTGGAGGACAATGTGTTACGTGTCGAGGGTCAAATCTCACTGACTCACTATAGGGCGAACAAAAATTAAACTCACTCCTTAATAAGGACTTCCGACTAGCACGTGATCAGGTCGTGCACCTTCAAACCGCGGCAAATTTGTTTGCCAGCTAGCGTACGTCAAGCAAATAATTTTTTCGCAGTTTTGTCTATTTTTGAGTTGGGAGGTATAACAAAACACTTAATGACTGGCCCCAAGGGAAACAGTGAGTTTTGTTTCCCCTCGACCTCAATGTTCCCCTCGACTTGGCCTCGGGGAATATCGAGGGTCTCGGGAAAACAAAACTCACTGTTTCCCTTTGGGCCAGTCATAAGTGCTTCTTATTTCCCGGCTAACATCCATTAACACTCTTTGTAGGTGTTGAACCCCGAATGGCTTCCCTTCGAGTCTAACTGATCGCCGCGCAAGAAGAAGAGAAAGCACAATTTAGTGCCGCATTGATCCAGAAAAATGATGAAGAGAAGTTGGATATTCTTCAAAGTAAGTCAAGTTATGCAAATGGCTCTATCACGGCCACTGCGTCTGTTTCGTGTTCTTCATCAAGATTATTAAACCTCTAACAAAGGAAAAAAGCTATTTTGTCATGCACTAGACGTTTCTTAATTTGCAAGCCTTGTTCGGGTACGTTGCTGTGTGGAAACACACCTTTAGCAACCCATCAGACCATTATTTCTTGGAAATTAAAAGTACACTGACTGTGGTCAGGTCTAGTTAGACTGCAATTATAGATTGGCTATCGGAAGAAGTTGAAATGTGCCGGCTTCAGTGTAGCGTTTGCTCGACTCCAAACATGTGCAAAACTGCTCTGATCAGATGAAACCCGCGTTGTTTTCAACAAATCAGGAAACAAATCCAGTCACCACTTGATTTTACGGTTTTACGGCTCCAAGCTCTTATGGATACATGAGCTGTAGGAGACGCGAACGTCGACTAAATTAAGGAAAATTACTTACAAATAAAGTCGTCATTTTACTTCCGCTGATCAAATTCTTGCCACAATACTTGGGTAACCAAGCTTTTGCTTGATCAACGTCTCCTATAGCTCGAGCTCATGGTGAGAGATGCGTTTGTTACGAGTTCAAGCGAGTTATTTGCATGTTGCGACAATCACCACCAAAAAAAGAGTTGATTCATCAAGTTCTTATGCCGGATATCGCAAGGAATGAATATTGATGGTTTGCGAGGAGTTTATCCCTTAATACTAAAATTCAACCTCAGCCTGGTTGAACCAGCAACCCGCGGGCGGTTTACACGCACAAGAGGACTGGTGACTAATTTTGGGAAAGTATGATGTCACGGAAATAAATATAGATCTGGGACAAAGCCCTGCATTTGCCTTGCCTCGACTAGAATTAAACGTCGTCCTTTACAATCATGGCTCGTGATACATGTCTCGATTTTCAGCGTATACTACTCACTGAAGATGAAAGTCTTGATACTCACAACAATGTAATGGCGCAGCTACAACTTGATCGTCGTTTACCAGAAGGAAGGAGGTCATGCGAACGATTGCTCAAGGGCCTGGGATTACAACCTGCACGAGAAGATCAAGAAGACAGAACATGCAAGCAGTTTGTGTTTCAAGGACAGTGTCTGGTTCTTGGAGAGTCTGGCGTAGGAAAAACAAGTCTGGTGAAGTCGCTCACTGGAAAACCGTTCGATCTCGAGCAACCCAAAACGCAAGGAATTGATCAAAGTCTTGTGAACGAGAAGTGGCAAAACCTAGAACCAAAGGATCTTATGTTTGGAAACTTCTCTCGATTCTTTAAAAAAATTCTTGTTCAGTTAACCATCTTTGGGAAAGCTGGCAATGTGATTGTTCAAGAGTCCACGAATTTGCTGGGTAACAATCCCCAAGGAGCACATTGGCTAGGTTTGTTGTGTATATTGATAGCTGTTTTTCTATGCTATCAAGCCCAGGATCCTACCCAGCGTCCAGGAATAATTCTTTTATATGGAGTTTTTCCGCCATTGATTATGGTTGCGGCATGGTGCACTTTTCATTCGGAACCCATAAGATTGATAGCAATCGCATGTTGTTTCTTTGCCAACCATCGTGGCTTGTTAATGGGTACATTTCTTTCTGTTCTGTCTGAAGCCTATCTTTTTAAAGGAATGTCGGCAAATAGTTGTAGTAGGTTCATCATTATTATTTTTCTCCTATTAGGTTTTCTGTGTTTCGATTATTACAAAAAGTCAAGATCGTTTCAGCAGTCGCTTGGTATTGACAGGAAGTGTCGGTATCCGGGACAACTAAAACTTAAGAACCAACGACCTGTAGAAATTTTCTTTATTGGTCGTTTCGTGATAACTGTTATTATAAGCTTTACCTTCACTTGCTTTGCAATATTGATGATGCATAATCCGAATAGAACTAAGTTAACAAGAGTGTTAACATTGGCAGTGGTTATTTGCTGCTGTTCACTTCTGTTAGTTCAATCAGTGCCAAGAATTATAGACTCTATACCCCGGTGGCGTGACAAAGTATTATTCATTATTGCAATCATTTGCCTTTATTGTGTTGGACGTTTGCTACCTCTAGATGTGAACATTGTTATAACATTCCTTGTATTCTTCTGTGATACAGTCCACAAAGAATACTTTTGTATCACATCTGCAGTAGCCACTACTGGCAATGGCCATGAAGGTTCAACTAGTTCAACTAATTTCACTGCAGTTTGTATAGAGAAAGCAGCGATGAATCAAAGATCTTTGAGAGATGCTCTCAATAAAAAGTTTTGCTCCCCTAAACTGAAGATCCTTGATTTTGCCGGAGATAATGAGTATCATGCCTACCATCATATGTTCCTGAGGAGCCAGGCCATTTATGCCATTGTATTCAACATGGCTGAGTTTGCAGAGAATAGCGTCAAAGACATACATGCAAAAATCAAGACACTCCATCTGTGGTTTGAATCTGTCTGTAGCCATGTTCCACTGAAAACGCCAATCCTCCTTGTAGGAACACATAGAGGAAACATGAACAAGATCTGGATACAGGAGTTAAATGGCCATCTGAAGAGAAACCTCTGGCATCTCTACTGTGATGAGATTATCGAGAACGATGTGGACAAATTGATCTTCTTTCCTATTGAAAACTCTCACGGTCAAAATGACCCTGGAGTTCAAACTCTGCAAAAGAAAATCATGACTGTTGCAGAGGAATACAAGGGAACTATAGGTCGTGACATACCTCTTTCATGGATCCAAATTCAGGACGAGATCATAAGTCTTAGAGAAAACAAGAAAGCCAAGTTCTGTGTGACGCTTGAAGAATTTCCAACAGCATTTGGAACTTTTATTTGCACCAACTGGTCTGAAGAAACCTTGAGGTACTTCCATGAAAAAGGCCTGGTAATATACCTTGACAAAGATAAAGATCTGTCCAAGTGGGTCCTTCTTAAGCCTGAGATACTGGTTGATATCATCATCCAGCTTGTCACGCCACCACCACAAGAGACACAGGAACGAGGCTTCAGACGTGACTGGAAACTCCATGACAAGGGAATGCTGACTAAATCACTGCTGGCAAGAATCATCTCGGAGTCCACAGCAGACCAAGAAACTGAAGCTCTGACTGGATTCCTTGAGGAATATGATTTGATCTGTCCTTTATCAAACAGGAAGGTGGAAATGTGTAACCAAGATAAAGATCACAACCAGCCAACTCACTTTGTTCCATCCTTGCTACCAATGTCTGCAGATGGCTGCATACCACCAGTATGGCATGATAATGACACAGATAAGAAGTTCTATGTGTTCTTTGAGAGATTCCTTCCAGAACCCCTGTTCCATCGCCTACTATCACGTGCCCACAAGAACAGTATGATTGAATATCCAAGTGGTCGACCAGTTCTGTATAGAGATGCTGGCATGTTCTGGATGAGGCCATCACAAAACTACAAGCAACCATACAGATTAAGACTTTTGAAGGAAGATGGAATGATTGAAGTGACAATAAGCTCCAGGTATTTTCTAAAGAGTTTTCAGACATAAATTTAAGTCGGAAAAGGAAGAGGGAGGGGCAAAATGTAGAGTACTAAAACATGCTATGCTTCATGTATAAACTTAATGTTAATAATGGATGTATCCTAGAGATGTAGTCACATAAGTAATAATGAAGCAAGAACCTTTTAATGACTCTTGCTTAAATGGAACTGACATTGAAAGGTTCATTTACTGATACAATCTCCAGAATAGTAACAAACATACAAGATTCCTAAGCATCAACAGCCCATGATACATTAACCGTTGACAT